TAATGATTGTAAGCCGCCCTGAGTCCCCTCAGGGAAAAGGGCGGCCTATAAATCTTAATAAAATACTAAAAATACTAAATACTTGAACAATTGTGGCACAAAAAGTTGTAAACTGGGACAAAACTCACTTAACAACTCACTTAACTTGCTTAGAAGTGAAAATTTTGTGAATTGTGGTCGTAAGTTGAGGACTACCTATACTGATCTCAAATATAAGAATTTCCCCCATGTTCTTGCATTTGCATACCTTTTTAATGGATTTTAACCTTTACAATTACATGAGTCTCGAATTTTGTAACATTTAATTGGCATTACATATATAGAGTTGTAAATTCTCAAAAACCCAAGCACAAAAATTTGAACATCTGGATGGAACCAATTTAAATTAGAAAAAAAATCCCATTTTATTGTCAAAAAAGAATATATAGCTACCTAAGCCATAGACAACTTTGACTTACCATTAGTTTTTCAATAATGCCTTTCTGGTTGCTTTTGTTTTGTTTTGTTCTTCCTCAAATTTGTATATTTAACGTAACTCTAACTTTCATTCTTCAAATAGCCATTGTGAGTTTGCTTTTCCATATAATTTCATCATCGACTTTAGCAAAACAATAGGATGAATTAACAATTGAATCTTTGTCTTTTGCATTATTTAATAAAGTTTTAAAACAGAAACACATTTATACAGATAAGACTAGCATTTTACTATCAGACCATGGTAGTATGTTATCCTATTCTTCATCCCCCTTGAAAGGACCAGTCAATAATAGCAAGGCAGCTTTTTAGTGGACAAGGGCTGCTCTTAACATTTGAAGTAAAAAGGTGGCTGAATGTGAGAGTAAAGGTGCAATCATTTCATGCATGAGCACGAACAGTTTTAAGGCATCAGGGGAAAGTTATTTATTTCTGTGATATACATAATTGTACAATTTTGTTACTATAACTTTACAATAAAAGCAATATTAATGCTTGTCATTAATGCTTCCTTCTGGACTATCTCAAAGGGCTGACAAGATGTCACTGATAATCAGATGCATGGGAATTGGTAATAAGTCCATACGATAAATCACAAATTGGTTTCAGGTACCTTCTTTAATGTAAGCAGTACATAAAATAATGTAATTACAAATAAAAATCAACTTTTAGAAAAAAGAATAGCATAAAAGTGATTGAAAATAACATAAATGTGGAAAAGTATATGTTATAAAGGTTGTAATAAAAGAGTAGAATAGAGTAGATAGAATAACAGAGTTGGAAGCGTCCTGGAGGTCTTCCAGTCCAACCTCCTGCTTAGGTAGGAAACTCTATACCATTTCAGACAATTGGTTATCAAATCTCTTTTTAAAAACTTCCAGTGTTGGAACATTCAACACTTCTGGTGGCAAGTTGTTCCACTGATTAATTGTTCTGTCAGAAAATTTCTTCTAGTTCTAGTTCTAAACCTAGAACTAAGCTATTCACAAGCTATTCTCCAAAGCACCTTTATTGCATTTAAAATACAATAAATTGCTTAAATTATGATGAGTGTGGAATTAGGAATGGAAGTGAGACAAGATTCTTCTAGTTTCGATCCCTCCACATCAGCAAATATAGGTGGCACAATGCCTCAATGGTTAAGACACTGGGCATATCAGCTGGAAAGCTGAGAGCCTGGGTTTGAAACACGAGTATTGTATGATGGGGTGAGCTCCCATATTTACCAAGCTCCTGCCAAAGTAGCCATTCCAAAGCCTGCAAATGCAAGTAGATAGATAAGTACCACTTCAATGGGGAGGAAACAGTGCTCTGTGACATTACACTGGCCACATGACCATAGAAACGTCATCAGATAGCGCAGGCTCAATGGCCCTTGAAATGGAGATGAACACTGCCCTCTATAATCAGTTATGACCAGCGAGTAGTGATTATGATTCGCAGAAACTCCATTCCCTTTTTCCTTTCCATCAGCAAAACCTGCAGTTATCACCCCAATGATCAGACAAAAATAAACTAGTTACAACTTTCTAAGAATACAGAATTACAAATAGCTCTATCTGTCCATCCTTATACAGATGAATGTTTTCCTATAATTTGTTATAAATATAGGAATAAACCAAATATCCTTCTGATTCATAAATTACTTGGTGCCACTATGATTTATTTCCATTAGACGATATTACACTGCTGCATAACTCTCTTGGGTTTAACCATTTGACAGATGTGTTTTACAATTGTTGTCCATACTAGTTAGTGTTCAACAGATATATTACACTAATTCATCTGAAAAATATAAATTATCAAGCTAACTACAGATAAGATGTAGGTTGGTATTAATTTTACCACTGGCTCCATGGTTCTAAAATCTTGTAATATAATCTCATGGTTTGAATAACTTTATAGCCCCATAAGAGGTTTATGATCTTGTGCAGACACTAACAGAAGATACTATAAAAAATGAGTCTGCAGCTGTTCTGAATTCGTCCAAAACTGTTATGTTTTTAAACTTTTAAATGTTTTCAAAGTATTATTTTATATTCATTAAATTATAATTGGAATGTGTGTTACAAATAGATATATTTATTAGTTAGCAACTCATTAGCAGTAAGCTTATTTGGTTTTTATCCATAATGTCATAATGAAAGGAAGCGTGGAACACAGAGGTGCAATTACAATATTTTTGACAAAAGAAAATAAACATTAGAAATCTAAATTTTATAATTAGTAGTCCTAAAATCCAAATTAGGATCATTAATAATAGCAATAGCAATAGCAATAGCAGTAGACTTATATACCGCTTCATAGGCCTTTCAGGCCTCTCTAAGCGGTTTACAGAGAGTCAGCATNGTGTTGAATGTTGAATGCAAGTTGTGTTTTTATTACTTTATTTTGTTCACGTATGGTTTATTTTGAATTGCACCCCCTCTCTAATGATTGTAAGCCGCCCTGAGTCCCCTCAGGGAAAAGGGCGGCCTATAAATCTTAATAAAATACTCAAAAAATACTCAAAATACTCTATTTGACCTGAGCTTTCCAAACTGTTGTATCTTTAAAGGTACTATCCAAACATTTACTTGTTCAATTAAACTCCCATTTGTCACCTAAGTGGTTTTCAGCATCACAAGGCAATATCTATATGCATCTCTGGGCTCCTTTCCCACCAGTCCTGCACTCTTACATGCCCTCTCCATATGGGAGGATATGTAAGTGCATGGAGGTGTGCAAGTGGTACCATCGGGGGGTGGGGGGAGGTTGCATGGGGGTGCAATGGAGGTCTGTGTGGGTGCATGAATATTTGGTAAGGAAATATCTCAGAAAAGATTATACAATGGATCACAAGTTATCTAATGTACTTCTAAGGCTTTTCTCAATTCCATGAAGAGCAGTGATAAAACACCTGTATCATTTTCAGACAGCATAATAGGTAACAGATTTTGGTCAACCTATGGGGATGATGATCTCAATTGAGAGACATTTAAGCAACATATATACTTACTTCTCCTTGGTGGAGACAGCCCATAACATTGTTTCTACTGGTTACATTTAACCCACCTATATTATCATATGACTTCTATACATATGTATTATCATATGACTATAAGTATTACTAAATATGTATCAATGGGGACTCTGGAAATTAGGTCAAACAGATTTAAAGACTATGAAGATTGTATAACATGTCCTTTTAGAAGATGTAACATACCTTCCTGTTGGTTGACCTAAAATTAAATATTGAATAATAATGTTTGGCCTGTTCTAAAGCTCTCTACAAAAATATTCTCTTTTCAACCATTCCAGAAATTTCAGTACAAATATTTAGTGCAAAATCACATCAATAGTTGACTGGTATAAAGCAATGTTGACAGTAATATTGCATTACCTTTTCCCCAGCCTTAGCATATTATTTAGAGGAGTAATGAAAAAAAATGTCACCCATACCATCAAAAGAGGAAGCTAAATAAATATTTAATTTCATCAGGATGGACTGCTTCAGTAGGAAAGTGATTGCCCCAGCTTCATTCTTAAGCATGGAATCATGCCATTCCTCTAAATTCCCTGTTCTGACCCCTCCCCCCATCCGGTGAGTCATGCCGACACAAGCTTACTGTAAACCACGCTTCATTCACAGTCATTACTCACAGACAAGACTTTGGCAGCAACTCAGACTCCCACAGATAAGAGATACACACAAGAGCTTCTCCAGCTTAGTATAACAGTTGTGTCCTNCAGACTCCCACAGATAAGAGATACACACAAGAGCTTCTCCAGCTTAGTATAACAGTTGTGTCCTGTAAAAGGTCTCCTCCCAAAGTCTCTTCTTATATACTCTCTTGGGAGGAGCCAAATCACAACCACCTGGGCCTGATTATCTCCTATAAGTCTGTCTCCATAATTGCTGCCTTCGCTTCTCCGCCCTTCTCTGCCTGGCGTCAGGGACCAACTCCCTTTGCTCCTCCCCACTGCTCCAGTGCCTGACGTCAGGGACAAACTCCCTTTGACTTTCACTGCTGCTTCAGGCCTCAAGCGCCTCCTGTTGGCCAACCAGCCTCTCTGGTCTCTGCTCGGAGTCTGAATCCTGCCCAGGGTCCTCCACATCTTCCAGAGCCGACTCATAGGGTCCCTTGCTATCAGAGTCTGTCGGCAGCTCCAACAGCTCTTGCCGGGCCACAATAATTCCCTATATCTACCTTTATTTTTTCTTCTCTCTCTACCTCCATTTCTCTCTGTCTCTCTCTCTCACTCACTCCTTGAAACCTTGTCCATTCTTACTGAAAAGATCATGGACAAGGTATTTATATTACAGTATGGCTTTTGGTGGCTTAATTTTCATTCCTATTAAATTTATAACACTATAATGGAGAAATAAACTAAATGATGTGATTTTTTTCCACAATTCTCTTGCTGAAAAATTGCAGAGTCCTCCAAATATACAACAGTCTCTCATTAAAATTCCATAAATAAATTCTCTTCTCCTCAGCTGTGCCAGGCTCTACTCACTTACAGACTAGATATTTGAACACTCCTCCTTTGCTCTTTCAGATTACTGTATTGCCCTCTCTAATGAGCAATGTAGTTACTGTGCGATTCTTAGTATACAAATGATATTTTTTTTCATAGGGAAAAAAAATGTGCTTTGTCAAAGCTACATTTTTCAATAAACAAAGCTCTACTTTTTGAGATAAATATTCACTCCAACTCAAGAGAGACCCTGGTTCCTATTAATAATCAGAAGAACCACCATATCAGTCTTTAAAACATCAACTTCAAAAAAACCAATCAAAGGGAACTGCACATAGTGCAGCACCTGTTTATACATTTGAAGACAACAAATCATAGAAGCATGTGAACAAATGAGTCTACCAGCATTTCCATGTGCTTTTGGTGAATGATCCAGCTTTATATGACTTCATTAGTTATCCATCCACCACTCCTGGAGACTTACACCTGAGAGGATCAGTGGTAAAAACCACACTGAAATAGCGAGTCAAATTCCTGTTTCTCTCTGTGAGTTCTCATCCTGGTCTTCACAGTCATTCCTATTCACAAGTTTCTTTAATTGTGTTGCCAGTATTAATTGAAATGGGCACATATATTTATGTAATGAAGAGTCATGCTAGCACAATGAAGCGAAGTCAGCTGGAGCCATTTGCTTTGAAGGAAACCTTTGGCCATGTATTTGCTCTCTGCATGCGCCACACACTATTTTTCATTACACAGGTTGATTGCTCTGTGTGCCCTGATGATTATGTGCATATATTCCTGTTTGCAGCTTTCAGCTGAACTCTTTAAGTTTATTTAAAGTATTTATATTCCTCCTTCATTTAACTTGAATTTATAAGGTAACTAGAAAGAAAATCACACTGGTACTATAAAAACAATACAGCAGAGCATCTAAAATGAACAAAAATGAAAGAAAAATATCACCACACTGTCTGTCATTTTAAACATCCCTAAAGAAAACAGTGATATTAATAAAATCCCTGAAGAAAGTAATAAAACTAATATCTTTCTTAAAGAAAGAAAGATAAAATCTCTTGGGCAAATGGAAGAGGAATATTTCAGGTTAGGGGAATGTGTCTGAGTTCTTCCAGACATTGAATTGAATTGAATTGAATTGATTAGGTTTCTATGCCGCCCAATCCCGAAGGACTCCGGGTGGCTTACAGAATAAAAAGAAATTAAAAAGACTTAAAAACAGTAGGATACACAAAGTTAAAAAAGAACACAACAAACACCAATCAGAAGGCCTGCCGGAAAAGCCAAGTTTTAATGGCTTTGCGAAAGGCCATGAGAGTGGGGATAACCTGGATCTCTGGGGGCAGCTCATTCCATATGGCCGGAGCGGCAACAGAGAAGGCCCTACTCCTAGGTGCTGCCAGCCGGCATTGTCCTGCTGAAGACACCGGGAGAAGGCCCATCCTGTGTGATCTGGTCACAGCCGACAGATGGTGTTCCAAGGTCAGCTGCGGGTCCAGGAGGACCCCCAAATTGCGAACCCTCTCTGAGGGGGGCAAGTTTTCTCCCCCCAGGATTAAGGACGGACTATATGGACTGTCCTTAGGGGGCAACATCCACAGCCATTCGGTCTTGTCAGGATTGAGTGCGAGTTTGTTCACTTCCATCCGGACCCATTCAGCATTACAAGGTGCACTGTCACCATGATGCTGAACCTACTCAGGCCTTTCTTTTGCTTGTCAATAAAACAGATTTCGCTGACGGCTCATTTTAATGGAGGATTGCCTAGTCAAGTGCTCAGGAATACCGCTCCATTTCATGAATATTTGTGCTTTAAATCTACAGTCAGTTTTAAAACTCCTGAGACAACGGATGATCTCATTGCTCAGCGCCTTCAACTACTCGAGTCAATCCACCGATTTAACAAGTAAGCTTCAAATTTTGGTGTAGTATTTAAAATGCTGATTCTAAAAGATATTGCCAGAGTAAATGAGA